TTCCTAGTCTGTCTTTGTTTTGTAGCTCATCTGAAACCTGTACACCATGGGTGACCCTGCCGGTTATTTAAAATACTGGTGGCATAGCCCTCAGAATCATAGCAACTCAAACCACCACAGCACAACAGATAGATGAGTGTTGGCCGTTTGGTTTTATGTTGATAATGTTTATATCAATATTCCTTCTTTAATTTTCAAATCAAAATTTTTAGTTTGCATGTGCAATATTGTATCTTTTAATGATAAGATTTCCTTTAAAAGCCCCAGAGTACTAGACACAAGAGTAGTAATTATGTACCTTGTGTACTTTACCAAGTGGACATTGATTTTATAAAGTAATGTTAACAGCTTTTTTAATCTCAGAAATGATTTACTCTATGAGGTACTTTCTTTTTCCTGGCAAAGGATCCCTGGTGACATTCTGGGTTAAGCATCGGGCTGCTAACTCTAAGGACTGCGGTTCAAACCCACCAGCCACTCTTTGGGAGAAAGCTGAGGCTGTCTGCTCCTGTAAAGACTGACGGTCTCAGAAACCCTAGAGGTAGTTCTGATCTGTCTTCCAGGGTCTCTGTGAGTTGGAATCAACTCAATAAAGTGGGTTTGGTTTGGTTTGTATATCGACATCGTCCTGGCTACTCACATATACCTCTGTGAAGAATGTGTAGCATTACTTCATTTTACAGATGAAGAAATTGATCAAACAGTTGCCATGGAGCTGATTCCAACTCATGATGACCTCACATGTGTTAGAGTAGAACTGCGCTCCAAAGAGTTTTCAATGGCTACATTTTTGGAAATAGAACACCAGAGTCTGGGTGGACTTGAACCTCGACCTTAGGGTTAGCAGCCTTACTTACCATTTACACCTCCCAGGAACTTTGAAGAAATTGATGTTAAACGTTTCCAGGCCTGGCTCATAGTTAAGCAGCTAATAAGCAGTTGAGCGCCACAACTGGAACCCAACTCTGGGATGCTCTGCCCATAAAAATATGGAAAAGCCACACTCCAAACTCTGGAGGGTCTGGTGGCATATGATCTGTTTATCTCTGTCATCATCAAAGGAATGCATTATTGGAAATTTCTGATTAGAAAGTTACTGATTTCTTTGGGCTGTGGTGAAATCCTGTCCATCTTGGTAAGGCTTTTGTGTGGTCACCACTCCTTGAGTTGCTTGAGGAACTAAGATCCATTTTGCTGAAAGTAGAAAATTATATGAAAGTTTCTGTTTGTCAAAACATGAATAAGATAATTAAGAAAAATGTTTGTTGTGTTTTCACTGAATGTTCATTTTCAGTGACGGTTCTTTCTCATACAACAGTTTCTATACAAGTTGTTCAGTGGCATTGGTTACATTCATCACAATGTGTGAACGTTCTCATATTTTCCATTCTGGTGGTTCCGTTTCCATTCATCTAGTTTCCCTGCCCCCATTACATGCTTCTTTTTGTTTTAAAATCATTCTTGACCATTTGGTTTCATCTAGGTGATTTAAAAAAAAAACGAGCACAGTACTCACAGTTGGCAGTCATTATTTGTGAGCCAGTCGGCTATTTAGCTATAAGAGACCTGACTCATGACTTAGTCTTATTTCAAAGTTAGAAGAGTATTCCAGGGCAAGAGTCTCAGGGTGTCCTTCAGCCTCAGGAAGTCCAGTAAGTCTGTTTCTTGTTTTGTTTTACTTTGTGTTTTAGGAATTTGCAGTTTTCTTCCATGTTTTTCTCCCATTCTGCCAAAGTCCATCTGTTGTGGCCTTGGTCAAGATAATCCGAAGTGGTAGCTGGCACCATCTAGTTCTTTTGATCTCAGAGTAATTGGAATCATGGATCATGTAGAATAAGACATATTTTATGTAGTTCATTTTCATGTCTGTTTGTTGACTTAACCTATATATTTTTTCCGATGATATCTTAATTACATAGTGCCACAATTTCATGTAAATGAGGAATCAAGTAGTTCAAATAAAATTTGAGTCTTGCTTTTCAAGGACTTAATATACAAGGGGAAGCAAAATAATATTGTTACTCGGGTTCCAGTTCATACATGCATTGTTGTTGTTGTTGTAAGTGCCATCGAGTCGGTTTCGACCCATAGCGACCCTGTACAGGGTTTCCGAGGGTGTAAATCTTTACGGAAGTAGAAAGCCTCATCTTTCTCCCGTGGAGCTGCTGGTAGTTTCGAACCACTGACCTTAAGGTTCGCAGCCCGATTCGTAGCCACTACGCTACCAGAGCTCCTTCATACATGCATTAGCTTAGCTTATTCCAAATAAAATGTGTTTAAACAGGTCTCTGTTTAAACATTTTCTCAGAAATATAATTGTTGTAGTCTCATTTGGGTGCCTGCAAAAAAAAAAAAAAAAGGTCCAGTCAAAACAGTGGCTTCCTGGGGAATCTGCGAGGTCAGTTTAATTCAAAACAGAGAGGTCAGCTCAGTAGGTCATGGTGACTGGTTTGCAGGATACCAAAGGGATCATCTTGATAGGTTTTCTCAAAGGATACAAGATGGTCATGGAGGCTTATTAGGAAGACACTTTCAGAAAATGGAAAACTGCATTGGTGAGAAAAAGGCCGACAAAGTTGTGCCAAGGAAGTGTTCTCCATCACAACAAAGCACCTGCTCATTCTTTAAGAGTTGCAACGCCCGTCCTAGGAGAGTTTCACCCGGAAACCTTACTCCTTCTACCCTACAGGCCTGATCTTGCCCTTTCAGACTTATTTTTTTCCCAAACTCAAAGAACATTTCAGTGGGACACAATTTGAGTCCCTTGAGGATGTGAAGACAGCAGTTTTGACATGTGCAAATCAAAGAGCTTAGAATTCTTTGGGAAGGGTTAGAGAATTGGAAACACGCCTTCATGGGCGTATAGGCCCAGATAGAAGCTATGTAAAGAAACAATAGCTTCACATTTTGATATTTTTCTTTAGTAAAGGTTTTGTTTTAGTAATCCTTTGACTTACCCTGGTAAGTCACTATCAAAGCACCATTTGTTCTCTGGACATTGTCAATGTGTATGGCTTTTGTATTTCTCTGTCCTGAGTGAACAGTGATGAAGCATAATACTTTACCCAAATATTAGCCAATAGCATGTGTTAACTTTGCATGATGTCACATTTTAATGGGATGTTCTTTATTTCTACAGCCATAGCCCTTTCAGACAACATAAAACCAAAGATAAGCATGAAATAGATCGGATGACACTCACAGTGGTAAGGGGTTTTAAAATTACCTTCTTGGTAGAACAATAGAATGATTTCCAACTTTCAGTCTATTTGGAACCCTGTGGCACAATGGGTTAAGCATTGGACTGCTCACCGAAAGGCTGGCAGTTCAAAACTATCAATCACTCCATAGGAGAACCATGAGGCAGTCTGCTTCTGTAAAGATTTACAGCCTGGGAAACCCTATGGAGCAATTCTCATTTGTCCTGTAAAGTCACTATGGATTGGATATGACTTGATATTGGGTTTGTTTTTGTGGTGTGGAGGTGGGGGTACATTTTGTTATGGCCAATGTAAAACATGGTTTTTGAAGTAAACACATGAAGAGATATATAATCCCTGGAAGAACTTCTAAGGGAAACATTTAATACAAATAGATATAAGGTTAAAAACCACACTTAATTCCCCAACAGACTGAGAAAGATAGAGTAAGCTGAACAAAGCTTAAAGAGATCGAATCAAAGGAAAACCTGCAGAGACGCCAGTAAGAGGGAACATAGCCCCAGCTTGATGATGGATTTGGACACTGATTTGTAACCTAATTCTCTTTCTCCAGAGTAAACATTATTTCTTGATATATCTTCAATTCTGAATACTGTGCTTATCCAAAGCATGATTTGAATCTGATTGGGCATGAAGGCATTATTTCCAGGAATGGAGTTGTAAGATTTTGCTCTTCTTTTCCCCAGAATGTGGAACTTCCGGACACTTTCTCCCCTGAATTAACATCACTTCTGGAAGCCTTGCTTCAGCGAGATGTTAACAAACGACTTGGCTGCCACGGAGCTGGGTACGCTCCCATTTCTTCTACATTTTGGGATCTTTACCTTAAAACTGGAAACATTCTTTTTTTTAATTATTTTTAATATTTTACAAACCAACACTTAGTGTTAGAAATATCAGTTGTTATTGGGGCAAAAAGCCTCCTCCTTCTCCCATGGAGTGGCTGGTGGATTCGAACCACCGATCTTGTGGTTCGCAATCCAGTACTTATCATACAGAGCCACCATGCTCCCATGCCTATGTATAGTATTTTTATTATATACATAGCTGACCAATATGTTTAGATGCACATTTCCTTACATATCAGTTTGAGAACTGACGTATTCCTGTTCTAAAAGGTGAGGAATTAGCTCCCTCATTTCCCTCTCTCTAAAGAAGAAAATAGAGTCCTGGTGTGGCGCTGTGGAATAAGCTCTGGACTGCCAATGACAAGGTTGGTGGTGCAGACCCACCAGCTGCTTCTTGGAAACCCTATACAGGGTCATTATGAGTCAGAACTGACCTAACAACACTTAACAACAACAATGAAGAAATCAACAAAATGATACATTGTCACTGAGTTGAGTCTGACTCATAGCGTCCCTGTAGGACAGAATAGAACTGCCCCATGGGGTGTTGGAGGCTGTCAGTCTTTACGGAAGCAGCCTATTTCCTCTTCTTCCATAGAGCCACTGGTGTGCTGCAGAGCGCTTAACCACAGCACCACCAGGGGTCTCTCTCTAGGCTAGCCTCCCCTTACCAAAAAAAAAAAAAAAAAAAGGCTATGTGCATAAATACGTCACAGATAGGCAAGGAAATTTACTAATATAAAAAAAAAAAAAAAAAAAAAAAGAAATGCCTCCACTGGTTTTGGTTTCTTTGCATTTGTTGCTTGAGCTGATGTACTTTCCCCCTGTGCCTTCTCACCCACTAGTAACAATAGCTTTGACTACCCACCATATAAAAAGAAGGTACTAACATTCCTGCCTGCTGTTTCCACCTTCTAAGCCTCTCCCCATGGCTCGTCTCTGCCATGTTGAGTTTTAATTTCACATGGTCAAGTGACATTCATAATTTCTGTGCTCTGATTGATTTCAAAAGTTGCAAATGGATACGTATTCAGTATGGCACCTTCAGCGTGGCTCCTCGCAGCCAGCAATGAGCCTTAAGTGGCGTTTGTTGTGTTTTTGCATGGATGTGTCTCAAAGGCAGTATCAGTTTTCCCCCAATATGCCTACGCCAGTGACTAGCCCCACTATCAGCGCCCTTCCATCCAAAGAGTCTCCCTTTACTCTCCTGGTTTGATTAGCTCCCATGCCTTCTGTTTTTCTGGGTTCCCCTCCACCTTGTTTACTAGAAAATGTGCTCAAGTAATGTACTTAGAGAGGCGGGTGCAGTAGGTAATCTCTCTGGATTCCTCCACATCGAAAAATACCTGTTGGCACAATGGTTAAAGCTCTTGGCTGCTAACAGAAAGGTTAGCAGTGTGAACCCATTAGCTGCTGTGACCCTAGGGAGGAGGCTGTCTGCTCCTGGAAAGCTGGACAGCCATGGAAACCATGTGGGGCAGTTCTAATCCAGCCTCTAGGATCACTGTGAGTCATAATCCTCTCTGTGGGACAGGATACAGTTCTTAATGCAGACACTTTCTGAAAAACCCAAACAACCAGAATAGAATGCTACGGGATGCCCAAGATTAGAAATCCTTTTGGGAGCAGAAAACCTCATCTTTCTCCTGAGGAGCAGCTGGTGGGTTTGAACCATCAACCATGTGCTTCGCAGCCCTATGCCCTTGCCACCGGGCTTCTTAATTTTTGCAGAGCATTACCCTTTATTCACAGACACATACTTACAACCGCTACCATTCTGTCCGTTATCCACAGCGCGCAGGAAGTGAAAGAACATTGTTTTTTCCGAGGCGTTGACTGGCAGCATGTCTACTTACAGAAGGTACTCCACCCCACGTGCCTTTCTCTGTGTCTCTATGCTGTGTGTGTCCTTGTCGAGTTCTGTCCCAAGAGTGTCACTGTGTGTTCAGTGTCCTTTGGTGAAACTTAATTTCTGAAATAGACACATTTTGAAAATATCCTCTGTAAATTAATGTATTATGGCGAAGCAAAACTATCAGGTACTAATTCTAGTGTCTACAAAGATGAGTTAGAAAAAATTGCTACAAAATCACCGAAGCCTTTATTGTTTCTCCACATCTCCTCCATCTAGTTCTAGATACTTCTGAAGATGATGATTCTATCTCTCTAACCCTTCTTTGAAGAATTCTGAGCTCTTCGATTTACACTATGTCAAAACAGCAGTTTTGGCATCCTTGGGAGACTCAAACTGTGGTCCTTTGAGATGTTCTTTGGACTTGGGGAACAAAAAACAGGTCTTAAGGGCAGTGTCAGGGCTGTAGGTAGATAGGTTAGGTTTCCCAGTGAAATTCTCCCCAGGAGGAAAGAGCAGATACAGTGTCGTGATGAAAAACAAGTCCTCCATGTACCTTTCCTTTTCCTCACCAATGCACTTGTCCATTTCCTTAAAACTTCTCCCTACTAAGCACCCATGATCATCTTGTACCCTTTGAGAAATCTATCAAGATGACCCCTTTGGCATACCCCAAACCAGTCCCCGTAACTTTCTGAGCTAACCTCTCTACCTTGAATTGAACTGACTCAGCACATCCTTTTGGAAACCATTATTTTGATTGGAACTTTTTTTGGGGGGGAAGACTACCTAATGAGACTAAAGGAGCTCTGGTAGTGTAGTGGGTACGAATTTAGTTGCTAATCTCACGGTCAGCAGTTCAAAACTACCAACAGTTCTGTGGGAGAAAGATGAGGTTTTCTGCTCCTGTTAAAACTTTTAAAGCCTCAAAAACCATGTACAGGGTCACTATGTGTTGGAACCAACTCCACGGAACATAACCACCACCATCACCACCACCCACAATGAGACTGAGAGAACTTGTCTGCAGTCATCCACAGAGACATAGTGAAGTACATTTTGTTTGGGGTAAACCTGTGCTTGTGTGACCTGGAACTCAAATAGCAATGCTTTCTGACTTACATCATTGTAAACGTTTTTGCATTTTAACTCATTTTCTGGAGTGCTTTTTTTTTTTAATGTTTTATTGTGAATTATGTGATTGTTTACATGGGAGAACATTAGCTTTACATTCATCCTATCGTATATTGTTTCACTGCCATGGTTACAATCCCCTCCATGCATCATCAACCAACCAAAGGGTATATATCCTGCAAGCCTGCCCCCCGGTCATCAGCACACAGCCCCTCTCCCTCTCTGGGTCTAGAGTCCCCAGCCGCTCCATCTCTCCACACGTCATAGTCTCTGCCTCCATCTCTGGCATCACTGTTTCTCTGGGCAGGGTCTCAGACTCCACTCTTCTCCCTTGATGGTCCCAGGAACCTCCGCTCCTGGACTGCAAAGTTAATCACTCCCCTCCTTTGCTACAAAATGTCTCCCTTTACATTTCCAATCCTCACAGTCAGTCCTGATAACAGTTATTCACTGTTGTACCACAAGAAACCTATCCCCATCTCCTTTCATCAGCCCTGTCCAGACAGATTGGATACTACTCAGTGGAGATTTTACCTTCCTCCGTGCCCTCTGGATCTAGGTTCCCTCTTGAAAGCTTGTAAGCCTTTGTAACTTCTTGTCTTTGTAGCCCCCCCACCCCCACCCGCAAGCCAGTGTCCAAGTTGCCCATCCCTGTCTACTTTGTGTATGGAGGGGGTGGGAATGATCCTCGCTGTGAAGATTTGTTCCCTTTTTTGAGCTACTGCATCCATATGTGTAGGTCAAGTTCATCAAATTGCTTTTTTTCCTCTTCTTTCTTCTTCCAGTTGAGCTCTGATCATCCAGTCATTGAAGCCAGGTCAAGTGGGTATTATCTGCAAGTGTGGGTGTTCTTATGCATATGCCCTCTCTTCTTATCAGCTGGATGCTTCACTCTCCACTCTAGTCCTCTGTGGCTATGTCACTGACTCTGGGCCCAGGAGTCCCCAGGTCTTGCCACACACTGCTGGCCAACCAGGTCTCCCCCTGGGTTCACAGGAGTCCATTGAACGTTGTAGGGCCTAGTTCACAGTTTCATTGCTGTTTTTCCCTCACTTCCTTATCGGTGACGAACATGGTCACCAGTAAGAGCACATGTCTGCTTGTGTTCAAGTTTTAGTCTTGGAAGGGGGTTTGCCCTGAGGGGACCTAACCACTTCCCTTCAAGTCTCCTGGGCGAACAACTTGCTTGTTCTTGTAGTGATCAGTTGGACTGCCATTATTGTTTTGTATTTTTCCTGTCAGTCTTTGTTTCAGGAAGTAGCTTCTGTTCTTCTAGCTGCTCCAGACTGGTCTGCTTGTTCTTTCAAGTGGAAATTTCCCACCTCAGAAGATTCTGGATGGGTTCAGGATTCCACCTAAGGTCTTATGTAATGCAGAGGCTCCACAGAAAGCTTCCTTCACTTGGCAAGTTCTAGCCCCATTTTAGATATACCAATCAGTTATAGGCAGAAGACGGACTTACAAGCTTTCTATGGTGATATTTCTGGCTATTCCTTTCTCTCCCCCCCCGCCCCCCAAGTGTCTATTTTATAATGGTATGCCAGGAAAACCAAGATTCAAAAGACAGCCAAGCATCTTAACATTATTTCCCCCCTTTAGCCCTTTGTAACCATGTATCGATCCCTGTTTCCCAGAGCCCTGTTGTTCCAAGGTTGTGCATACATTATTATTTACCAGCTCTAGTAGTGTAGTGGTTACGAATCAGGCTGCGAATCTCTGGGTCAGCAGTTCGAAACTACCAGCTGTTCCATGGGAGAAAGATGAGGCTTTCTGCTCCTGTAGAGATTTACAGCCTTGGAAACCCTGTACAGGGTTGCTATGAGGTGGAATCGACTCCATGACACATAACAACAACAACAACAACACTTACCCTATGCAAACCTGCCTACTTGTTTTCCCATTCACCTTGTTCTTCCATTCTCCTCCCCCTTCTTGGGTATTGCCCCCTTCCCTAGCATCCAAACTCTCCTGTGTCTATTCCCTACCCTGTGCTCCCCCCTCCCCTCACCCTACCCCACATATCCCAGTAACCAGCAAAGAATCCCAGACCCCTTTAATATGGGTTCTTTTTCTTAGACTTTTACAGCAGTGGTCCTATGCAGTATTTCTCCCTTTGTGACTGACTAATTTCACTCAACATAATGTCCTCAAGGTTCATCCATGTTATATGGTGGCTTGCTGCTTCCTTGTTATTCTTCAAGGTAGCATAAGATTCCATTGTGTGTATGTACCACAGTTTGTTTATCCATTCTTCAGTTAATGGTCACTTAAGCTGTCTCCATCTTTTTGCTATTGTAAATAGTGCTGCTATGAACATTGGTGTGCATATATCTACTCATGTTATGGCTCATATGTTTTGTGTGTAAATACCAAGTAGAGGAATTGCTGGATCAAAAGGTAGTTCTATTTCCAACCTTCTGAGGAAACGCCATATTGCTTTCCAGAGAGGTTTTGCAATCCCCCCAGCAATGCAGTTGCGTCCCATTTTCTGGAATTCTTATCTCAATACCTGTTACTACATTTGTCATAGCTTTGCATTAAAATGCAAGAATGCTTTTGTCATAAACTTGTATGAGTCATGGTGTGAGCAGCTAATCACAAGGTCGTCAATTCAAAGACACCAGTCACTCCTTGAAAAGCCTATACAGGATTGCTATGATTAAGATCCAGCTCGAGGGCACATACCACCACCACCATGTAACTGGAGAGTTTACAAGGTTTTATAACAGCGCAATTCCCTTTCCCTCTTTCATTGCTTTTATTAAGAGGAAGACATCACAGGTTTATTATTTTTTAAACATATATGATCAACTTTTGAATCATTTTTTTGTATGAACTCAGACTGTAGGGGAATGGTGTTTTTTTTATTTTTGTTCTTTAATAGGAAAGAGAAGCTCACTGGTAGGCCTACCTGAGAGTTGAAGCTCCAGTTGCCTTGGCATTAACCTCAGAGCACTTGCCAGGCCTGGAGCACTCCCTCCACCCAGCCATCCTTCAGCCTCACGTTCTAGCACCATCTGACAGGATATACTTTTTGAAAGCTGAGCTTTGCAAATGTACACTCTTTGTTGTTGTTGTTAGGTGCCATCGAGTCAGCACCAACCCATAGCGACCCTATGCACAACAGAATGAAACACTACCCGTTCCTGGGCCAAACTCAACAATTGTTACGCCTTAGCCCATTGTTGCCACCACTGTGCCAATCCATCTCGCTGGGGGTCTTTCTTCTTTTTCACTGACCCTCCACCTTACCAAACATGATATCCTTCTCCAGGGACTGGACCCTTCTGAAAATATGTCTAAAGTATGAGAGACAAAGTTTGGCCATCCTGGCTTCAAAGGAGCGCTCTGGCTGTACTTCTTTTAACACAAATCTGTTAGTTCTTTTATTAGTCCATGGTACTTTTAATATTCTCCTCCAACACCATAATTCAAATGCATCAATTCTTCTACGGTCTTCCTTATTCACTGTCCAACTTTCACATGCCTATGAGGTTATTTAAAATACCATGGCTTGGGTCAGGTGCACCTTAGTAAACTGACGTCTTTGCTCTTGAACACTTTTAAAGAGATCTTGTTCAGCAGACTTGCTTAATGGAATATGTCATTTGATTTCTTGACTGTTGCTTTCATGAATGTTGATGGTTGATCTGAGCAAAATGAAGTATTGGATAACTTCAATCTTTTCTCCATTGGTATGTTCAGTCTTAGGGACTTCATTATATTTGATTATTTAAGATATTTGGATATTAGTCTTGTGTGCGTGTGTGTGTGTGTGTGTGTGTGTGTGTGGAATATGGGAAGTTTTACAGAGCAGGTCAGTTTTCCACTCAACAATTCAGACACATTTAGTTGCATCTCATTGATTGCAATCCCTACAATGTAACATCTCTCATCCCACTTCGTCCCTCTGTTTCCTGTTTCCATTCCTCCTCCTTTCCTAAGTCTTCTGAACTTGGTCCTTTGTCCACTGCTGCCCTTTTGATCTTAAATGATTACTTAGTTAAAGATGTGTGTTCCTCCCTACTGTTGATGTTTCCTCCTTATAGACCTATCTGTTTCTTGGCTGAAATTTGAGCCATGATGGTGTCTTCCTTTCTAGACCTGAATGATGACTGAGAGAGCCATAGTCTTAAGGATTCCACCAGTCACTATCCAAACTGTAAACCTTGTCTTTTTCATGATTTTGAGTTTTACATTTTTATTCCAACTCTCTCCAGGGATCTTCTAGTGAGATCCCTTCCAGAGAAGCTGATAGGAGCAGTTGGGTACCATCTAGTTCTTCTGATCTCAGGGTGATGGAAACTGATGTTTACATGGTCCATTAGTCCATTGCACTAATTTGGATATTAGTCTTTTGTTTTTCCTCTTAAGTTTTTTAGTGGGTCTTCCTTTTAGGCTTGTTTAATGCAAAAACACTTACATGTTTTTTTGGAAGGGGCTCCCAAAAGTTGAAGAGAAAATGGAACTAAAAGATAGGGAATTTTCCATACAGGGGCTTTGAAGCCCCTGGCAAGTGATGGAATTTGTGTAAGTGTGACTGAAACACTGCTCACAGTGGAGCTTACTGATACCTGATATTGTGTGCTGTGTTCTTCCTAGGGAACGTTAGGTGGGGACGGGGCTGTGAGGAACAGCTGATAACTGTCACATACTTTCTGGGTCTTCCAGTATCCCCCACCCCTGATTCCTCCTCGTGGAGAAGTCAATGCTGCCGATGCCTTTGATATCGGGTCATTTGATGAAGAAGACACCAAAGGCATTAAGGTAAATGTGGAACACTTACCTTTTGGGTGGCAGGTGTAGGAGGATAGCTTTTCTATTAGGAATGTCTTATACCTAGTGATTGTCCTAGTAATGAGCTGCTTGTGGGAATGTAACTTATAAATGAATATGAAGATGATTGACAATATAGATATTTAAAGAATCTCTATTATTTAGAGACAATGGAAGTTTTCTGTGAACTAATCACTTTATTTTCTAAAAATTAAACAACAGTCAGGAGTCCTGGTGTGGCATTGCAGGATAAATCACTGGACCTCAAGGTCGCTTTGAACTTCATAGTCAGTGGTTCAAACATTCCAGCCACACCTTGGAAACCCTATACAGTGTCTCTACGAGTCAGAACTGACTTAATGCATGTAACAACAACAACGGTCAAGTGTTTATTGATGAGAATATTTGTGAAGTAAAACTTGAACGTATGTGAAGCAGGGAGGAAAACACAATACCCACCCACCCATCTGCCATTCCATGATATCAAGAACCCCTCGCCCTGTGTAAAAGAACCAGCCACCATAACTCCTTTAAGCGATCTCTCTATTCTGGGCTACAAAGAGCAAATAGCATGAATCATTCTGCATTTGTCAATCAAAGGTGCAATAATCACTGTTGTTTTTTTATTTTATGTAACCCTTTGCATTTTCAAACGTTCGCGTCATTATTTTTTTCCAAGTAAGACAAGGCATAATTATGGGTGGTGAGTCATGAGAGAAAATAATCCTCCTTAGGGTGCTGAGTCAAAATGTATCCCTATGTGTCAAGCTCTTGTCTCCCCACCGTACCCCAGAGTCTCCCACTCCTTTCGACATCCGCTCTCCCTCTTACCGGCTGCCCTGACAGAGTCGAACTTTCCCCATCCCCCCCCGAGTGTTTTCTAGGTGAGAATCTTGATTGAAGCAGATCACCCAGGACTTTTTTCCATGACACCTTTGGTAGATTCAACCGCTAAACTTCTAAGTTAGTTGTTGTCAGTTTTTTGGGTACTGTTGAGTAAATTTTTGAGTCTTTGTTACCCTGTGTGACAGAGTAGAGCTTATATCAGCCCCTTCATCTTTCTCAAGTAGCTTCAGAAGGAGATGACCTTGCTAGAATGCAGGTCTGCAGGATGGAGGTAATCGGGCAACAGATCAAACATGGGGGCTGGAGCCTGCCAGTGACGGGGACCCAGAGGCACCTGGGAGCTGGAGATGGCTGGGTGGAGGCCTACTATGGGGAGCAGCTAGTGGAGGCGGGGAAGTTTCATTCATGAGATGTCTCTGAGGATACATGAGAGAAGGAAGCCCTGGTGGGCTCATAGGTTAAACGTTGGGCTGCTAACTGCAGCAGTTCGAACCCACCAGTTGCTCTACATGAGAAAGATGAGGCAGCCTGCTCCCATAAAGATTGACAGCCTCAGAAACCCGAGGGAACAGTTCTACTCTGTCCTAATGGGTCTCTGTGAGTTGGAATCTATTGGGCGGCAGTGGGTTTTAGATGAGAGAACCTATTGAAACCATCAGGCTTATAGTCAGTGCTTACCAGACTAACAGCTCCTGTTAACTGTGGTTTGGGTTCTTCCCGACCAAGAGCTCAGAAAGAGGACAGCACTTCAGAGTAACAAGGAGCCTGTGGCCAGGTGACAGCTGTACGTGAGGAACCCAGATCCTGGACACAATGACCGGAGCCAGGCTGGGGGAATGTATTTAATACTGCCGCCACCCATCTGCCAGTGGAGGCTTGTGCATTGGTATGATGCGGAATATGCTTCACCAGAGTTTCTAAACTAAGACTAAGAAGAAAGGCCTGGTGATATATGGATGAAGATCAGCCAGGGAAAACCCGATGGGTCACAATAGTTCAATCCCACAACCCATTGTGGGGATGGCCCAGGGCCAGGCAGCAACCTTCTGTTGTGCTTGGAATGACCAAGAGCTGGGGGCAGGCTCACTGGCAGTGGACAACAGCTATAAAACAACAACAATTTGTTCTTTACCTTTAAAACGCAGCCCAAATAATACAGTTTCTTTAAGAGCAACAACAGAATACAAAAAGGAAAAAAAAAAACCCACTTTGCTTCATGTAAACATAAATTATCTTCTTTGTTCTATTCATTTTTAACAACATAGGTGGGATCACAAAGAACAAAGTTTTCTGAAAGTAATTAACAGTATAATGTGTGTACCACTACCGCTGAGGTAATTCAAACTCCTAGAGGCAGCAGTTTGGAACTACTAGCTCCTCGGAAGAAAAATGAGACTGCTCCCATAAAAATTTACAGCCTCAGAAACTCTATACAGGGTCTCTATGAGTCAGAACCAACTCCACAGCACACCACCATGACAGTGGAACTGTTCCATGGGATTTCCAAGGCTGTCAGATTATGAGAGCAGACAATCTCATGTTTCTTCCATGGAACAGTTTGTGGGTTTGAACTGCTAGCCTTGTTTGTATATAAAGCCAACACTGAACATTTCAGAGTAACTACTTTAGGAAAGAGTGTGTTTTTACTCCGGTCGGACTCTTTAGACACTGCCTAGTGACCTTGCTCAGAGGTGCCTGTCGGGCCTCAGGCCTGTAACACACATACACACACACACACCACTGGTCACATTCAGAACAATTGAGGATTTCAAATCTGGTCATACTTTGGGAATCTGAACAAAATTGAAAGGAGGAGGGTGGGGAGAGGAAGACTCTATAAATAAAACCAGTTTCAAAAAAAAACAAAAAACAATTGCTATTATATCGGGGACACCACACATGTCAAAAGCAGAACTGTGGTCCATGGCGTTTACAGTAACTGAGTCCTCAGTTAGTTGCCAGACCTTTCTTCTGAGGTGCCTCTGGGTGGACTTGAACCTCCAAGTTTTTTGTTAGCAGCCCAGTGCATTATTACTGGCCATTAAAGTTGACACATTCATAGAAGAGATGAGAGTAGCTGGAGAACACCCCAGCTTGGGGCAGGGGACATTTTTCCAGGTTTTATTGTCTACATGACTGTGGATAAGTGTCTTCAGCTCTGGAGTCTTGCCCTGCTTTTCTCTCCAGGCAGGGTGTGAACGAACCACCACATCTCTAAGGAGCTCTGTTTTTCTGTGAGATCACATGCTCATTTACGCCAGCATTACCTCTGTCATAAAACCGTAAACGCATAAAACCAATGTTTCTGCTATGCTTCAACATGCAGAGCCAGAAGGAAGAGTTTTGAGAAATATTTTTCAAGATAAATACTATCCTTAAAGGTCGTTTTAATTTTAGCACCTCAGAGACTAAGTTGACTTAACTCAATGTGTATGAGCTTTATGTCATACATAGGATTTTGCACTTGTAAATTGTGGTTCCTTAGAATTGGAAGGTTCGAAGAATGAGTCATAATTCTCTCCTTTCCCTCCCTCCTGAATATTTCAGATCATTTGAGGGTTAGGTTAGCAAGCCATCTTGACTCTTGGCTTTAGTTGTTGTTAATGCCATCAGGTCTGTTTAGTAAAACTCTCTATTTTCTTACATTCATAATTGAATTTTTCATTCTGTCCATTCAGAAAGCTCTTACTGTCGCATGTAGACCACTATACACATTAGTTTTCTTTGCCAAAACTACAGAAAAGATATTATAGGATAGCAAACTAAACCAAAGGGTGTTTTCCTCAGTACACTTTGATTGCCAGATTATCTTTCTAGTATTGTCTCTCTTTTTTTTTTCTTTCTTTCTTTTTTTCTGAATGTGAAATGACTATCATTTAGAATCATTTGTGGACTGTGGGTGCTTGCATTGTCATTAGTAGAACTTGGCAACAACTAATAAATGATCTCGGAATGACTGTAAAGGAGCTCCCATAGCACCATGGTTAAATGCTCTGCTGCCAAGCAAAAGGTCAAGGGCTCAAACCCACCCGCGACCCTGCTGGAGTCAAGACCTAGCGATCTGCTTCCATAGAGATGGCAGCCGAGGAAACCCTCCAGGGTGGTTGTGCTCTGCCCTGTAGGGGTCGCTGTGAGTGGATGGCACCCAGTAACAACAAAGGACTGTGTGTCTGTTTAATAGTCCCCCCTGAGCACAACAGTGACCCATCATCCGTCCTGTGTGGAGCTGTCGAATCCATTGCCTCTGTGAGTCTGTTAAATCATAAATATCTTGATTTCTTAAAATAACAAGCTTCTTGATTGCGACCAAGAACTCTACAAGAACTTCCCCTTGGTCATCTCGGAGCGCTGGCAGCAGGAAGTGGCGGAAACCGTATATGAAGCAGTCAACGCAGACACAGATAAGACCGAGGCCAGGAAAAGAGCTAAAAATAAGCAGCTTGGCCACGAAGAAGGTAAAATAGCTATTATGTCTCCAAACATTTCTAACGCAAAGCATTGCAAAGCATTACCACAGCTTCTTATAAAACTAACAAGGTATGTGGGACAGAAAGTACTCTCTAGGAGAGAGAGAGGAAAAAAAACATACTGCTAATAATGCCCAAGATTATTTTAGTTTTATCAGACTTGGGTGAGCTCAGGATAATATGAAGGAGCTTCAAGAAGTTGGTGGGAAAATGGAATGAAAAGATGGTGGCATTTTTCCGTGAACTTTTCAAGTGTCTCGTGGAGTCACGGTGTGGTGCTATAGGATAAAGCACTGGACCTCAGTGTTGGTTTGAACCACAAGGTCAGCGGTTCAAACTCACCAGCCACTCTTCAGAAGGAAACCCTACACAGGGTTGCTATGAGTCTGAACCAACTCAATGGCACTTAACAACAATGTGTTTCAAAGTGTTAGTCCATGTAATTAAAAGGGTATGAAGACAGTAACCAGGGTTTCATTAGCATGTACTCTTCTCTTACACTGTTCAGGGGCTAGTGTAGAACTTTTTTCCAGAATATGAAAGTATCAGGAGTCCTGGTGTGCATTGTAAGATAAGCACTGGACTGCTAACCACAAGGTCAGCAGTTCAAACCCACCAGCCACTCTTCGGAAATCCTATACAGTGTTGCTATGAGTTGGAACCAACTTGACAACACTTAACAACAATAACAAAGTATCGGGAATAGCATATAACCCTATGCATTGTATGAACTGGAATCCTAGAAGCAGAATTTTTTACTCACCTTTATACATTCTACTCTGGCAATCCTAAGCATGGGGCTCAACTAGTTTAAATAACTTGGCGATTCTTTACTGTAAACTAGCACACCTGGTTTGTAATACAGATGTATTTGTCAAACTTTTGTCCATTTAGAGGGATATGTTAAATGTATCAACATATTGAGAAGCAACTATTTAATATGTCAGGACAGAGCAGGAGCCTGGGTGACACAGTGGTTAAAGCGCCCTGCTGCCAACCGGTAAGGTTGGCGGTTTGAACCCACCAGCTGCTCCTCAGGAGAAAGATGTGGTCTGCTCCTGTATAGATTTGCAGCCTTGAAAACCCTGTGGGGCCGTTGTCTTATCACATGGGGTTCTGAGTTGGAATCGACCCCACAGCAATGGGTTTGTTTTGGGTTTTTTGTTGGTTTGGGAGACGGAACTGAAGATGCCTCTGTTTTTAAGAACCCCAGACCAGATGTGTCTCAGATGCAAAGAATTAACAACAAGATTTTTTTCTAAAAAGCATGCCATTCTTTTGTTTTTCTTTCTTTCTTTCTGAGAATAATGGGGCTGTGATGTTTCTGTTCCAGAGTCAATTTCATTTCTAGTTCTTTTCTACTCAGATTATGCACTGGGAAAAGACTGTATCATGCATGGGTACATGCTGAAACTGGGGAACCCATTTCTAACTCAGTGGCAGCGACGATACTTTTATCTGTTCCCAAACCGGCTGGAGTGGAGAGGCGAAGGTGAATCCCGGGTGAGTGGAAGTAACCTCCGTATGGCCCCTGTCAGCGGGTACTTGGTACTGCTGACTCGTGTTTGCACAGCACCTTCCTGAACCATGTAAGAAAACAAAAGTGAATCCACTGCCTAGAGTCGATTCTGACTCACAGTACCCTTGTATAGGTATTCCAAGACAGACAGCCTCGTCTTTCTCCTGCAGAGCAGGTGGGGGGTTTAAAGCTTGTGGTTAGCAGCCCATTGCCTAACCCACAGCGCCATCAGGGCTCCTTCCTGAGTGGTAGAGCCACTTTCATTTGGACACTGGGGATTTGAACATTTACCCTTTAACGTTTAAAAGCATAAGCCAGGGAAGAACATAGTGATATCTGAAAAGGGAACATAGGCCTTCATGAGGCCATAGCGCCACATTGCCACAGGGGTTTGCAGAGTCCGACCCAGATTTTATGAAGGAAGAAACAGCTTGGTGGGCTAGTCCATTGTGGGGTGAGAGGTGGTTCGACCCAGGCCGGCTGGCCTATATACCCTCTCCTGCCAACCTAAGCATAACGCAGCCACCACGGGTCATGTCAAATAAGAAGAGCATGTTGTTGTTGTTAAGTGCCATCGAGTCGTTTCCAAATCATAGCGACCCTCTATAGGGTTTCTGAGGAGCGGCTGGTGAGCTCGAACCACTGACCTTGTGGTTCAAAGCAACCTTGTGGTCCAGCGCACTGACTCACTGAGAGCAGGATTAGGACTTCACCTCAGCCCCACTTCCTTTTGCCTCCTCCTCTTGGTACACTTTCTGTGTTGAATTCATATGCCAGCAGAAAGCCTTAGCTACTCTTTTGAGAGCTAATGTTTGTGACTAAAATAAAATAGAAACTTCTGGTCTCCCCCACCCTGCCATGATCCCTTTCAGCAAGTCAGCATTTATTAAGCACTTGTGTGAGGAGCCCTGAGGGCACAGTAGTTAAGCAAGGTTGGTGGTTCCAACCCATCAGCTGCTCTGGGCAACAAAGAAGAGGCTACCTGCTCCCATAAAGATTGACAGTCTCAGACACCCTATGGAACAGTTCTGCTCTGTCCTCTAGGGTCACTGCGAGTTGGCATCAACTGGACGGCACAGTGAACCACCGTGGTGGAAGCCATGTCTTCTGTTATTGGGAGAAAGATGGGGGCCAAATGTTCATAAGGCAGACGATAGTCTAAGTACTGGGTGACTGGACGTACCCAAATGCTGTATATTTGACGTGGACTATGTGTTTTATACCCTTAGAAGTTGCCACTCAGTTTTAAGTAATTTCAGTGGCATATGAAAGGGCTTCAAAAAGCCGGTAGAAAAATTCCATTAACTTTCAATTCCATTTTTCCACAAGCTTTTTGAAGCCCCCGCAAATTATCACATTTCTTCAGAAATAAACTAGATCTTTTCTTTTACTGGCGTTACAGAAATCTTTGTTTTTTTGAAGTTTCATGTAGGACTTAACTTCCCATTCATGAGACTCTTTGGGGGCCCTGAGGTATAACTGAGGTTCTAAGAAGCATGAAAACGGCTCCTCAAAGGTCTGTCTGTGTCCAAATCATGAATAACCCACTGCCTCTGATTGATTCCGACTCATAGCCTCTCTGTAAGGACACAGTAACACTGCTCCCCAGGGTTTCTGTTAGCAGCCCAGTGCTTAACCCACTGTGCTCCCAGGGCGCCTTAGGTAATCAGTGTTGTGGTTAAGTGTCATCAAGTCCCTGCCATCAAGTTGGAAAACCAGTATAGGGTTTCCAAGGAGTGGCTGGTGGGTTTGAACCGCCACATTGTGGTTCAAATCAACCTTGTGGTCCAATGCTGATCCCCCAGCGCCTGGACGTTTAACATTTGGCTGCACACAGGTAAGCCTCGGTAGTCAGCAGTGGAAGGAAAGTGCCCCCCCTTCAGAAAATCAGAAAGCTTCTAATAATATTGGAGTGTAAGAGAGCGCACGCAGTGTGGAGGCTCTGTAGGATAAGCACTGGACTGCCAACTACAAGCTTGGTGGGTCGAGCCCAGATACTCCGTAGCAGAACAATGAGACTTTCTGTTCCCCCCAAAATAGTTTATAACCTTGGAAACCCTATACAGGGTTGCCATGAGTTGGAACCGACTCTTAACAACCATGGAGTATTAAGCGGAGAAAAATGTTTCCCCTTTGATTAACATCTGATACAATAAATTATCTAGATTTAAAATACTGCAAACCATCAGCTCAACTTTCAGTCAAGCTGTAGATAGGTATACAGTGGGGACAAACAACACTAGTGAGATATGCTCACCAAAAGGGCAGCATTTGCCCAAGGTGGAGGGTAGGGAAAGGAGTAGAAATGTGAACCACAGGGGGGAAATGGGATAAATGATGTTACTTGGATGGGATTGCAGTCATGGAGATCAAACGAAGTGTAAAATATGTTGAATGTAAAACTGATGATCAGCTCTGTAAACTTTCACTCAATTCGTAAAAAGTTAAAAAAAAAAAAAAAAGTGTATAGACCTAGATAGAGACAGTATCAAGAAATAATAAGCTTCACATTTTGATATTTTGGTTTAATAAAGATTTCTGTGATTTTATGGTGGTGGTTGTGTGCGGTCGAGTCAGTTCCAACTCATAGCGGCCCTGCATAGGGTTTCTGATGCTGTAAATCTACAGGAGCAGAAAACCTCATTTTCCTCATCAGGAGCATCTGGTGGACTCTAATTGCTGAGTTGCAGTTAGCAGTCCAATGTATAACCCACTACATCACCAGAGTTCCTCAAATATGTAATCTATGGAGTCCTGTTGTGGCACTGCACGACAATGCACTGAACATCAAGGTTGGTTTGAACTGCAAGGCTGGCAGTTCAGACTCACCAACCGCTCCTCGGAAACCCTTGTCAGGGTTGCTATGAGTCAGAACCGACTTGATGGCACTTAACAACACTGTGTGCTTTGAGATGCTACAGAACATACGTGACTGGGTTCTTAAGTATAAATATATATGCATATATACATTTAGATAGATTAGATAGATAGATAGATAGATAGATAGATAGATAGATAGATAGATAGATAGATAGAGATATAAAAAAGAAAGAGCAATGAAAAAGTGTGAGTTTACAATGATGTTGTTTTTCATTTAGGATTCCTGGAGTATTTATCCCAAAAAACATAAAATGGTAAGGTAAACCATACTACTCTAGCAGTCACCCCTAAGCAGTAATGTCATAGGCCTGATGTGACCATCTTTATAGGATGTCACAGGGACATCATTTTGATATTTGCTTCCAAGCTAATATCACCTAACATTGATTGAGCTGCTTCATTAAAACCAAACCGCCTGCCCCTTTGCTCCTGTGAATCATACGCAGTGCTCCGTTGCTCCCTCACAACTGTGTTGATGGCATTGAGTGTCTCCGACACCCACAAAAGCCTTCTGGTGATTGGTGATCATTCAGAAGTCAGTCTGTACTGAGGGAACACCTTCGCTGGGTTTGCCGGATGGAAACAGCCCTTTCTTTTGCAGTTTATTTGAGATATTATCACTTGAACTTTTATCTATGTTTCTTTGTAGCTGCTGCCTCCCCAACGTTAGAATATCTTCAAAGAACAAAAAACAAAACAATAAAAATACAGCCTGCCATTGCTTTATTTATATTTACTTTTCTTAAAGCCAGTCGTTTTCAGAATCCCAAAGAATTGGAAGTTAACACATCATTCTTCTTTTTAGCAAAATTTACTGACGATGGAACAGATTGTCTCGGTGGAAGAAACTCAGATTAAAGAGAAGAAGTGTATCTTGCTCAGGATAAAAGGAGGGAAGCAATTTGTCCTGCAATGCGAGGTGAGTTCTTACTTATTTGGCTCCACAGGTAAAGATAGAACAGTGACAGAAAAAGTTCAGTCAAGATGGCTACCTGGTTCCCACACCTGGTCTTTCTCCACTCTTCATCGCATTCATGCTCAGCAAGAAAGTCCCAAGGTAGGCTAGGTTTTCAGCAAACCAACAGTTAGTTTAAAAGATGCAAGTCTTGGAACAGGGCCAGAGTCATTTGATTAATAACTTGAGATAATTTGGTTCCAGAAACTATCCAAGATTTTAGAAGAACTTAGACTTTAGTTCCTCTTTAGATCTGACCTCTCAGAGTGTTTGAGGTGGAGACTAGGAGGCAAAGTGACTTTCAGCTAACAAATGATGCCTCTCCCAAGGGCAGAGACACCTCTCATTTCCCCAGAGCTGTAGCCCAAGTTGTGTGGATTTAATCCCTGGGTAGTTTTTCTAGCACTATATATCCTGCTTTTTTAGGATAAATACTCCAGGCATCCTAAATGAAAAAGCAAGGCCATCGTTAGGAGGCCACGTACTAATGGCCATAAACCAGTTGTTGTGAGGTGCGGTGTAGTTGGTTCCCACTCATGGCACCCCCATGAAGGACAGATGGGACCCTGTGCAGCCCCACATCATCTTTGTTTGAGCCCATTGTTGCAGCCACTGGGTCGTTGTACCTCACTGAGGATCTTCCTCTTTTTTACTGACCCTCTACTTTACCAAACGTGACGTTCTTCTCCAAGGACTGGTGCCCCTGCTCACATAGCCACAGCCCTCTCTAGGCTTCAGCTGGGTTTGATCATTTGTTGCAGTGGCCACACAAAGCTAGATACCATACTCACAATTATGGGGTTTATTAGGAAAGTTAGGGTATAGTTCAGGGTCAGATATGCTTAAGACACAGTTCTTCCAGTCACAGCAGTCTTTCCTCAGCTGTGCTCACAGGCAGGCTTCTCTTTGGCCCTCGGCTCCTTGGCCTGGCCTTTGCCCCACTCTGGCAGTGATAAACAGCTTTTTCAGGACTGCTGATCAATGCCCAAAGGGCACTCCATTCCGCTATAAGCCACAGCCTGAAGGCACTTGGCTCTAACTCTGTGTGTCAGCAAACCCAGCTCCCCTAATTAAGTGCCTGGAAGCTGCTGCCCAAACACACTCAGCTTTGCTTGCTCTGTGGGCTGGGAATCCCTCCACTTTGTCTTGTGCTTTGGCCCTTGGTTCCGCTGCTTTTGCTCCTCTGCCACTCCTCCGGTGTCACAGCTTTCTGTCCCTGAGTTGAGGAGGTTGAGTGCACAGTGTTCTCAGGGTCCAAATGACATGTTCCACTCCTGGCTCTTCTTTGTTGGTCATGACATTCCCCCTCCTGCTTCTGAGACGTTCATTTTAAACCCAGCAGGATAGCAACATCGACTAATCCCCTCATTAGATTTCCAAGTGTTTATAATCACAGTGCTGTTAACAATCACTAACAAATGAATCATAGAACCCATCAGCATCTATCTAACCCCCTCCCCTGCTTCCCTTACCCAGACTCATCAGGAAAAAGACATTCAGTGGAAGCTTGAAAAGACTATAGCTAGAAGAGACATTAAATACTTAACTACCCTACAGGCACAAACAGTCTGTGCTCATCCACTCCCCTAAAGGCTGGTAGTTCAAACCTGCCCAGCAGTGCCACAGAATAAAGGCCTGGCAATCGGCTGCTGTAAGGATTTCAGAAGAAAACCCTACAGAGCCATTCTTTTCTGTAACACATCAGGTCACCATGGGTTTTAATCACTTCCACAGCAGTGGGTTTTGCTGTTGTTCAGTTTTAATCAGCGAAGATCCTTTAAAGAGGGTTCATACTACTTTATACACATCAATTGTTTTAGAAATCCAAGATAGAGTCTTAATAAATTAAAGGCCGAGGCTCTCATAGTGGGATCGGCCCAGAATTATCTGAAGGACATGAATATGGACTTTCAGGGACAAGTCTCAAAGCCTCAGCACGACTTAATGGCTAGTTGACAGTGTGTTATTGTTACAAGTGATAGAGTAGAACTGTCCCACCAGGTTTTCTGCTGGCTTTGTGAGAGCAGACCACCAGCTCTTTTCCCTGTAGTGATAGATGTTCCATTAGAACTTCTTCTGTGGGTCAGACTAACAGGGCATGCTTCCAGCAGAATGCGCCTCACATCTCATGCCCTGCGAGCATTTGTATCGTTAAGAAGGCTGTCACCTTTTCCGCATTTATGTTCCCGTCCAGAGTGACCCAGAGTTTGCACAGTGGAAAAAGGAGCTGACCGAGACCTTCATGGAGGCCCAGAGGCTCCTGCGTCGCGCACCCAAATTCCTCAACAAGCCACGATCCGCTGTCCTGGAACTCTCGAAGCCGCCCCTATGCCACAGGAACAGCAACGGCCTTTAGCGTGCAGGGGTGGGAGGGGCCTGAGCCTACTGCGTGCCTGGGAAGGTCTCCCCTGGCGCTCCCAGCCCAGCCACGGCGCCTGATTGAGATGCACATGGTCAGACCCAGGATTTGCGGAGCGCAGGGGTTCTTCCGTGCCTGGAGGGAGATCTAAGAGGCCAAGATGCTCCTAATAGGAGCTAGGACCCTGTCAGGCAAGGGGGTGGGGCCTGTAGTAAGATCCGGCATGCCTGTATCCCACTGGAAAACTACTGAAGTGAAGAAGCCTCGTCTTCTTTGCTGCTCACTTATTTTGGTAGAATCGGAACCCAGAGCTGGCAACAGTGTCTGAAATATCTTTAACTTTCAAAGATGAACTTTGACCAACTTCAGTTGGGTGACAGACCACCCTCAGTGTTGTCTCATTTTAGCCCTGACTGGTCACTGCTGAGTTTGTCTTTGCTTCTTGCTCTGGAGGATGGGAGAACCATCACCTTTGGACACCTCACAACAGACTTCGTATTGCCCAGGATAAAAAGTTGGAGATGTTTTCTGAAAAGATCAAACTTGGGACCTTCCCTGGTATACTGTACCCACACACGGACCACCTGCTGGCCCTGCCTTTGGCAAATGTATCCCTGGAACTCCCTAGTAGATGGGGACCCAGACAGCATGGTTTCCAGGGTTACGGTGTAAACGAATGGTTTTAGGCGGAGCCTTACATGTCAGAGTACATCAGTTTCCACACTCTTCAAACCCACACCTGCTCTAGTAAAAGCAACAGCAGCTGTAAGTGCCCTGGGGCAGGCGTGTGCTCGCACGAGGCTCTCTGGTGGGTTCTACAAGAAGCACTGGCAGGATCAGGGAATTCTAGTTTTCTCTGCCTGTCCTCGGGAAACATATCAATCACGACCACACAGAGGGAGGGAAAGAAATGCTGTGGCTCACATCTAGGTTATTTTTAAATGTGTGGTATTGCATAAAGAAGGCTGCTTATGAATGTGTCCAAATAGGTTCAAGTGTACAAGTATGTTGTGTCTCTTAACTTATCTGTCATCTGTGAACAATTTGCACTAGGTGGCTGTATGGCCCTGTAACCCTGCTCCCAGCAGCCCCACCACCCCCAAAGATTCCATGCCCTTTCATGGCCCTAGTACATGCTGGGTTAAGCAGAACCAGTGTTTTGCCCAGCCAAGTCCCCTGTGCCATCAGACGAAAATAATCCTATTTTCAAAAGTCACATACTGGCCCCATTCTGGGGGCAGCCTCACTGTGTGGCTTCAGGTTAACTACTAACCACATAAATGACTTGACACAACCATCGCATCCTGTCCTTGATATATGGAGTGGTTCCACATCTTCATGTATGTGTGTTTGCTTTTTAATTCCTGTAGTATGCCCTTTGGGAAAGTAAGCACTTTTCAATGAAATGGTATTTTGTGAGTGTGGAATATACTAAGTCTAATATGACATAGGAAATGTTGAGGTTCATTATCTGTCTCCAGTTCTAGCTGGGGTTGAAATTCACATGCACGTTCTGCTGTCTGCTGTTGCCAGCACGGGAGGAACGATGTGCCGTTTGCATGTTCTGTTGTTTTTGTTGTTAGGTGCCATCAAATAAGTTCTGACTCCTAGTCCCCCATCCATATTCAACAGAACAGAACACTTCCCCGCCCTGCACCATCCTTACTTTTGTTTTGGTGAGCCCATTTGTTGCAGCCACTGTGTCTGACTTTTCTGCGAAGCGTCTTCCTCTTCTTCACTGACTCTTCACTAAGGGTCAGCCTAATGTCCTTTATTTAAAATGAAAACATAGTAATCACATTCTGTAAAAACCAGCAACCATAAAACACAGAGACAGCAGTTGTTTGTTTTAAACAGTGAACGTCTTAGGCACCGTTCCAAAGGTTTGTGAAAAAATGCCATCATCTTTTAATCCCATTTTCCCACAACTTTTGGGAAACCCCTTGTATAGACTTATAGTAATCACAGAGCTTCCGAGCTCACCTGGACTCAGGGTCTCATGGGGAGAAGGTGTCCTGACCCCATCAAAGGCTGCACTCAATATCTCTCATCTCCTACCTGTCAACTATGAAACCCTAGTGGCGCAACAGTTAAGCACTCAGCTGCTAATAAGAAGGTCAGTGGTTCCAACCCACCCAACAACTCCTCGGGAGAAAGGCCTGGCCATCTCCTGTCAAGAGAGCCCCATGGCACAGTTCTACTGGCATATGAGGTCAGTATGGGTCAGAAATCGGCTCAAGGTACCCAACGACAACAATCGGCAAGGCCAAAGTGTCCAGAAAGATGATTACACTGCTCAAGAGCCGTCTTTTACACTGGCAGTAAAACTGAGCCAATTTGCATCTCCTCAGCGTTATTTTTTCGGTGGAGTAGAACATAAGATTAAGTTCTCTTTTAGTAAAGAAATATGAGCTAGAAAAGATCTTAAAAGGTCTTCTGCCTCACGTTTATTCCAAGTCAACTCTTCCCTTTGATTTGTAATGACATGGTTGTTATGTGCCGTCAAATTGGTTCCAACTCATAGTGACCCTGTATAGGGTTTCCAAGGAGTGACTGGTGAGCTTGAACTGCCAACCTTGCAGTTGAAGCCGACATTACAGTCCAGCACATTAACCCGCAGCGCAACACCAGGACTCCAATGCCATGGTGGTTGTTGTTATTAAGTGCTGTTGAGTCGATTCCGACTGCTAGCGATCCTGTATAGGGTTTCCAAGGAGCAGCTGGTGAACTTGAACCACCGACTTTACAGTTCAAACAACTTAGCTGTCTAGAAAGTTCCAAGAGTGCTACTTAATTCCTTGCCCTTTCTTACCTTTGGACCTTTTATAAAGGACAAAATCCATTCCAAGTCTTCTCGTTAGCTTAGCTTAATATGGGTTTAATTTTGTCAGTGAAGGTAAGGGAGATTCCTGTTAATATAAGGCTTACCAGTGGTGCAGTGGTTAAAGCCACTAGGCTGCTAACCGGAAGGTCAGTGGGTCGAACCTACCTGTGGGAGAAAGATATGAGAGTCTGCTGCTGCTTCCATGAAAATGTACAGCTTTGGAAACTGTATAGGGCAGTTCTACTCCATCCTACAGGGTCATTATGAGATGTCAGTGGGTTTGGTTTTATGAAGACACTTCAAAAAGTTCTTGGATATTGGATTTTTTCCATGAACTTTTGGAAGCCCCTTCATATTTAGAAAATTATGTCTTAAGACTTCATTTAATAACTCAAAGGGATCTAGAAATCAAAACCTAAATATAAGGATCTTAAGTCGCTATATAAGGTGTTGCTGTTGTTAAGTGCCTTCGAGCCGGTTTTGACTCATAGCGACACTGTATAGCATTTCCAAGGAGCGGCTGGTGGGCTTGAACCACTGACCTTGTAGCTCAAACTGACCTTGCAGCCCAGGACGTTAACCTGTGCACTGCACTAGGACCCAATATAAGGTATGTGGATACATTAGGAACGTTTGCAAACCCAAGGTTATTCTCTGGAACCTCAAGTGTCCTTGTTGGTACATTTATCTCATTATTGGGGTCCCTTGTTTTTCCTTCCCTTGTGACACCATAGGATGAACATTGGACTGCCAACTGCAAGGCTGGTGGTTCAAACCCACCAGCTGTTTCACAGGAGAAAGAGGAGGCTTTCTGTTTCAATAGAAGATTTACAGACTTGAAAAGCCCGAGTAGGGTTGCTGTGAGTCGCAAGCAACTTGAAAGAGGTGGGTTTGGTCCTGGTTTCAGGTTTAAGTATGATTTTCCAGCAACACATCTGGAATAGTACTATCGCTCTCATGTTTAATGGAAAGTACTCTGGCCTCTGGCTGGTTCCCTGACTTGGCAGCTTCAGATTCAGTACGTGAAGAGGGCCAGGTGTGGAGGCATGCCAGGGCAAGGAGCAATCCACCTGGGGGAGAGAGCAGTGGCAGCAGCATTCGTCTGGAGTCAGTAATGCTTGGCTCAGGCTTGTGGTTGGAGGTCCCCCATACAGACATATTAAAAACCATTGCTTCAAGGCCCTGCTAGCCACGATCAAACATGGTTTACCTACCAACAGCAGAATTTCACTTGTCTGAAAACACCGATGTGCCTGTGTATGAGTGCATGTTTTTGAGGATGGTTTGGTTTGGTTTTTGTTTTTCACTCCAAATTTGTAATCCGGCCAATTCAGTACAACCTGTTCACTTTCCGGTGCAATTGATTCTTGTGTGGAAGTTTTTAACATACCAAGAAGATAACAAAATTCTGAAAGTTTGACCCCTTTCAGCAAAGCAAATGTGTAGAAGTAGCTTTGAGATGTGCCTGTGTTAAGATATGATTTATATTGTATGATTCAATGGTGTGCTATGCTTTTTTTTTACAAAAAAAATTCTTCTTTAATTATGTTCAAGGAAATGTGTCTGTGCCATTCAAAGATTACTTGCCAAGTGATCCCTCCACACCCCGCATGAGGGAATGACTTAGTTGATTGTGCCTAGGTGCCTATGGAAGAAAACCTTGCGTCAGGCTTTTTTTTCACATTGGCAGGTGGATGGGAGGTTGAGAGGCATTAGGGCTGGGTGGAGTGGCCCAAAGAGAAGAACAGTAGTAGAAATAGAGCAAAAAATTTTAATTTGATGACCAAAAGCAACCCCTTGCACCATGTTGTTAGATGCTGTTGAGTTTGTTCCAACTCATAGGGTTTCCTAGGAATGAATGACTGGTGAGTTTGAATTGCCTACCTTTTGGTTCAGATCAATCTTGTGGTTCAAACCAACCTTGCGGTCCATGCTTATCCTACAGTGCCACAGCAGGCCTCTCTTTACACCATAACCCAATCCCAAACCAAACCCACTGTCATAAATTCTGTTCCAGCTCATAGCCACCCCATAGGACAAGTCTGCATATTACAGGAGCAGACTGCCCCATCTTTTCCCCATGGAGTGGTTAATGGATTCTAACTGTTGACCTTTTGGTTTGCAGCCCAACTTGTAACCCACCACTGGGGCTGTTTTTACACCATAAAACACAA